CTGGACCATAATGTTACAGAATGTGTAGGTTGGGCCAGATTGTTACAGAATGTGTAGGCTGGACCATAATGTTACAGAATATGTAGGTTGGGCCAGAATGTTACAGAATGGTTAGGTTAGGCCAGAATGTTACAGAATGTGTAGGCTGGACCATAATGTTACAGAATGTGTACGTTGGGCCAGAATATTACAGAATGTGTAGGTTGGGCCAGAATGTTACAGAATGTGTAGGCTGGACCATAATGTTACAGAATGTGTAGGTTGGGCCAGAATGTTACATAATGTGTAGGTTGGGCCAGAATGTTACAGAATGTGTAGGTTGGGCCAGAATGTTACGGAATGTGTAGGCTGGACCATAATGTTACAGAATGTGTAGGTTGGGCCAGAATGTTACAGAATGTGTAGGTTGGAACATAATGTTACAGAATGTGTAGGCTGGACTATAATTTTACAGAATGTGTAGGTTGGGCCAGAATGTTACAGAATGTCTAGGTTGAACCAGAATGTTACAGAATGTGTAGGTTGGGCCAGAATGTTACAGAATGTGTAGGTTGGGCCAGAATGTTACAGAATGTATAGGCTGAACCAGAATGTTACAGAATGTGTAGGTTGGGCCAGAATGTTTACAGAATGTGTGGGTTGGGCCAGAATTTACAGAATGTGTAGGCTGGGCCAGAATGTTACAGAATGTGTAGGCTGGACCATAATGTTACAGAATGTGTAGGTTGGGCCAGAATGTTACAGAATGTGTGGGTTGGGCCAGAATGTTACAGAATGTGTAGGCTGGACCATAATGTTACAGAATGTGTGTGGGTTGGGCCAGTATGTTGCAGAATGTGTAGGTTGGGCCAGAATGTTACAGAATGTGTAGGTTGGGCCAGAATGTTACAGAATGTGTAGGTTGGGCCAGAATGTTACAGAATGTGTAGGCTGGACCATAATGTTACAGAATGTGTAGGTTGGGCCAGAATGTTACAGAATGTGTAGGTTGGGCCAGAATGTTACAGAATGTGTAGGTTGGGCCAGAATGTTACAGAATGTATAGGCTGAACAAGAATGTTACAGAATGTGTAGGTTGGGCCAGAATGTTACAGAATGTGTAGGTTGGGCCAGAATGTTACAGAATGTGTAGGCTTGGTCAGAATGTTACAGAATGTGTAGGCTGGGCCAGAATGTTACAGAATGTGTAGGCCGGGTCAGAATGTGTAGGTTGGACCAGAATGAAAATGGAATTCTGACAGTGATAGATTGCATTTATTTAAAATTTGATATAAGACATCCTCTCCCCAAAATAGCATGAAGATACAGAGACGCGTTCAAGAATTAAAAGGGTCCGGACCCAGATTTCTCAGTGAGACAAGTCAGCACTTGGTGATGAAATTTTGGTCAACCGGTTGATATGCGTCTTCTCAATGAACTTCCTATTGCTTCTTCCTAGAAACGATGCTACGACTATTGTCCCTGATGATATAAAGCCACTAAAAAATAAAATTGTTTCTCGTTGATGCGATCTACGATGTAGCGTTGAGCTGAGAAGAACTGATTGATTTGTTTTTTTACGGTTTATTAACCTTTTACAGGTTATTTAAAGCTAGAAATTATTTTTAATTTGTAAGAAGTTTTTTTTTAAGATAATAATGATTTACTGATACAAGTCTTACTAATTCAACAATTTACTTCTTCTGGGAGGTAAAGCCACACCCTTTCTAAGGGTATTAGCGCGTCAGTGAATATAACGAATCTGACTGGAACTGAAACCTGGCCCTCCGATTTACAATTCCAGAAAGTTATCCATTACATCACCCACATATCCAAGCTTATAGCACATGACATTTTCAAGCGGTAACCCATCTAGCTACTGAGCAGGCTGAATGTTGCTTAACATCGGTGATCGTACGAAAACCAGTGTTGCAACGTAATATCTATACCATCTTTATTAAGAGTAATTAAATTATCATTTATCAGCAGATAAAAGCCAAAAAGAAAACGCTGACAATATTCAATATTTTGCAAGTATATTAAGATACTATCTATGATGTAGCGTTGGGCTCTGAAAAATTGACTGATTTGTTTTTGACGGCTTATCAACCTTTTGTAGGTTATTAAAAGCCAGAAATAATTTTTAGATAGTAAGAATGTTTTTAAAGATAATATTGATTTGCTGATACAAATCCTATTAATTAACCCATAGGTGGGGGACAAGAAGAGGCCTTTCACAAGTGTATTTGAACGTAAGTTAATATAACGAACCCGCCTGGAATTAGCTTTACGACATATCCAAGTTTGGGTATTCCCAAGCGGTCACCCATTTAGATACTGACCAGTCTCGACGTTGCTTAACTTCGGTGATGGTACGTGATGTAGCTGTATGCCATGCCATCCGCATATCCAAGATTACAAAACCTGGTATTCCCAAGCGGTCACCCATTTAAGTACTGACCAGGCCCACGTTGCTTTTCCGAGATCGTACGGGAACCGGTGTTTCAACATGATATGGCCTTATGCCATACCACCGCATACCCAAGCTTACAGCACCTGGTATTAAGTAGCGGTCACCCATCTCGGTACTTTCCAGGCTCAATTTTGCTTAACTTCGGTGATGAGTGTTTCAGCGTGATATGGCCGTAAGCTCTGATGGAATGAAGCCTGAGACAGCTCAAATCACAGGAGGGTAAGAAAGAAAATGATATTTTTAAAAAATTGGAAAGTCTTAATGTTAATCGTCATCAATAAATAGATACACTACGTGCCGTTATCAACGAGACGAAATCTCTGCAGTGTTAAAAATGGCCCAGCTTAGAGAATAAACGAGTTCCTTACCCTGGAGCAGTGTTTCACAGTCTCCTAATTTCTTTTAGTTTTATGCTTAGTACTTACCTACATGCGCACATTGTAGTGGAATATTTTTTTTATGTGAGTGTCACTTCAGGGCGTAGGCGATCATGGCCCTTCACATGTTCCTGCTTCTTGTAGCTCTTAATAAGTTTTGTTTTTCTGTTATTTCTCCCAAACCCTGTTCTAGTCTCAAACTCATCAAGTATGTTACACGTTGCTTTCTTCTGTGCATTTTTCCCTCAATCTGTCCTGTGAGCATCAAATTTTCCAAGCTTTCCTTCCTCTTTACGTGCACTAGAAATTTCAGCTGTCTCTTGCTGATCTTGTACAAATTTCCTTTTTGTTTCGATCTCCTCCAAAACCTCGTTGTTGCTCACATGTTCTGTTCATGGTATCCTCAGCAACTTTTTGTAGTGGAACAGGAATTCGCAAAGTTTGGTCTCAGATTTTTTGTCACTAAAATGAACCCGATTCCTTCCGTGCCATTGTTATAGAGCCTGTGCTTTATGGACTTTAGTATTTCTTGATCATCATGCGATTGATCTCTCAAAGGATGAGCTTCAGTTAAAGGTAGTTCTGAAAATTACATTTCTTGTTCCAGTGTCTAGAACAAATGCCACATTGTCCGACCTCTATTTCCGCTCCGAACTCTATTCTTGAATCTTAATTATTTCATGTGGCCAGCGTCATTATTAGTGATGTCTAAAGCACATTATTGTATTAATATTCTCTTTACCTGTCTTTCCCTAACACACACACACACACACACACACACACACACACACACACACAGAGAGAGAGAGCATATAAAACATTTTGGGGCTGACAAAGAAGTCAAATAACTGATAGATATATTTGTTCTGGCCTCGGAGTTTCTGACTTGATTTAATGCGAAATCCCTTCAGGGCGTAGGCGATCATGACCCCCCCTCATCCCTTCTCCTCTTCATTATCTGCGAATTGCCATGAAATCTTAGTAAAATGGAAGAATGATTTACCATTGGATCTTCCACGGTCATTTTTGCAGTTATTACGTTAATGCAGACCAATTTTATGGGGGGTGATCAGTTTATTACTTAAATATAACAGAAAAATTGACACCCCCCACTTTATGGCATTTAAAACCTTATATTAATAACAGTTTATTATTACGGACAGAAATGATGGTATATTTTGTCATATTCTTACTATTATAACGATGTTTTCACACGTGAGAATATACTTTTCCTTTTATTATATTAATATATAGGGACTGTCGTCAATACAAGGGAGGTAACTCTAGAACAGTAAAAATTATAGACGTTGCAGATAGATATATACAAATACATGTGGTCTATACGTGAGTTTAAATTTTCCAGTTCTCAACCGAGATCTCAAGTGGAACTTGCACGTACGATCCATCGCTAAATATGCTGGAAAAATGGCCGCTTTCCTGTACCGCTCCAGTAATTACCTGTCTTCTCTTGCTATCCTTTATCGTTACAAGAGCAAGATTAGGCCCAAACTGGAGTACTGCTGCCATATAACGGCACGAGTTGCCCAGTCTTCATTTTCAGTCTCGATAGAGTCCAAAAGCGTCTCCGCTATCCTCAGCCTTTACAATAGGCAGATCAGGCAGAAAATGGAATACTGCTGCCATATAACGGCACGAGTTGGCCCTCTTCACTTTCTAGTCTCGATAGAATCCTAAAGCGTCTCCGTATCCTCGTGGGTGACAATTTTTTCCGCGCTAAAACTCCTTTCCCCAGAGACCCATTGTCGCAAGACACTCGCTGCTCTATCGCTATTTCCAATGAAAGTGTTCAGATGAAATACATTCCTTAGTCCCACCAGTTCTAACCTTTACGGCTAGGATCCGCCATGCGACGCCCATTGTAGCAAATCACCCTCACTCCTTTCGTATTCCATTGGTGAGACGTGAGTTACACTCGAGCAAGTTCTTCCCACAAACCACTACTTTGCGAAACCAACTCCCAAGAGGATGCTTCTCTATCACTAAAATCGTAACCTGTTCAATACTATACCTTTTCAACTTCAAAATGATAATAATCATCTTCAAAATGGACTTATTTTCAAGTAAAAAATTAATCAACTCCAAAATGGATTAATCAACTTCAAATTGGATCAATCAACTTCAAAATGGAACAATCAACTTCAAAATGGAACAATCAACTCCAAAATGGATCAATCAACTTCAAAATGGATTAATCAACTTCAAATTGAGAAAATGTCAAAAACCTAAAAACAATCAACTTCAAAATAAGAATAAACAACTTCAAATTGGAATAAAAAAATTCAAATTGAGATATTTTTTTTTTGTAAATTGAAAATTATTTTTTCAATTAATTTACCCTATGAGTAAGGAAATTGACTGTTCGTCTTCATTATATAGACGAAGAAAAACCAAAATACAAACAACTTAGAGGCCAAGAAACATTGGGTGAGCCTACAGTAAAAGTAGGAGGAGAAAGTCCCGTATGGGCAAAAATGATGATTGATGATGATGCTGGAGAAACCTCTACAAAAGAAGCTGAAGAAGAATTAGCAACAGCTCCAAAGAGAATTTACCTCAAGAAAACTGTGGCTGACGAAAAAAAGGCCCAGATTTTAGCTGCACCTGCCGCAGCAGGAAATTGGAAAGACCTGGCAAGAAAAATTGGTGTGCCTCTGCCAACAGCGTACCGTTGGTTAGACCAGGGTGCTGATAAGAGTGACTCTAGGGGAGGAGCAAGAAAATATAAAATTATGCAAGAGCATAAGAATTTTATGGCCGAATTAATTGAAAACTGTCCTAGGGTCACTCTTCAAGACATTGTAAATAAGTTGGTCGAAAAGTATGAGGTTCTTGTGACGAAAGAATGCATAAGAAAGCACTTGGACTCCATGGCCTTTACTTTAAAAGTGGTTCATTATGAACCAGAAGCTACCAATAATAATGTCAATAAGGTGAAACGTAAAGATTACGCAGTAGCTTTATTAGAATTTCAGTCCTAAAGTGTGCCAATTCTTTATATGGATGAAACCAATTTTAATCTCCATATTTCAAGAAGAGAAGGTCGCTCTAAAAAACGCACGAGGTGCACTACAGTTGCGACCGGATCCAAGGGAAATAATATGCATGTTATTGGATGTATTAGTAATAATGGATTAATTCATCATAAAATTAAGAGAGGTTCTTTCAAAAAAGAGGATGCGAAAGAATGGAGCAGGGAATGCCTTAGAAAGGCAAATGAAATTTATGAAAGGGGAGTTGTCTTAGTTATTGATAACGCTCCTTGTCATATTTCAATTGAAGAAGTTGTGGAGGAGGATGAATTTAGGCAACCCCAAAGTTTCAGACTTGCCCCCTATAGTCCGATGTTAAATCCCATTGAAAAGGTTTGGTCAGTCATTTAAGCTGACGTAAAAAGAAGTATGGCAGACTCAATTGTTGGGATTTTAAGAGGTGATGGCCAGGGATCTTTAATTGTTAAAGACTTCCGCCTCAGCAAGTTAGAAGAGATGATCTCCGAGGCAATTAATAATATTTTCCCTGAGACTTGCACTAACTTCGTATCTGGAATACAGAGATTACTTCCCTCTGTAATTAACTTAGATGATGTAATCTTTTAAATAAATTTCTTAGGAACGTTTATATTTTTTTATATCCCTTTTAAGTAAAAATAAAAGAATAAATATTAAATTTATTAGTATTATATTAATTCTCAATTTGAAGTTGATTAATCCAATTTGAAGTTGATTATTTCTCATTTTGAAGTTGTTTTTCCAATTTGAAGTTGATTGATCCAATTTGAAGTTGATTAATCCATTTTGAAGTTGATTGATCCAATTTGAAGTTGATTAATCCATTTTGAAGGTGATTAATTTTTTTACCTGAAAATAAGTCCATTTTGCAGTTGATTATTATCATTTTGAAGTTGAAAAGGTATAGAACAATCTACCCCGCGTGGACGAAATAAAGGGTTCGGTTCGAAATTCGAATCACCTGAAGAAGACCGGAGCGTACAACGGCCGAAACGTTGTGAATACGGCAATGAAGATGAGTATAACAGTTCGAATAATGTAAATAATGCGAGTTATCTCCGAGTAAATTGCCAGCGAGGACTAAAGAGCTACCATAGGCCCATTAGTTATGGACTATTGGCACCAATCATCAATGGTTTCTGAACAGTTCCACCTCCCGAATCTCATACACCAACCGATCGTAGGTCTGTCAACTTCCCATCGGTGCTGGAATTGTCTCCCAAGCCAATAGAATTAATAGACCGTTGTGATATTCAAAGCCGAATCTCATAATCAGAACACTGAAGATGGAACTAATCGGCCACTCGTGAATAATGAGGAATTTTTTTTACTATTTTTCATTCAGTACAAGGCCGAGGAGCCACTCAAGGTAGAAGGTTACTGTGTAATGCTGTATTAGCGTAAGAAAGGGCAAGAAGGGAAGTTCCTAAAGCTAAACAGGAAAGAAAACGGCCAACTTGAAGCGGTCAAGATTTAATTAATGAATAACATGTCAGAAGTATAGTATGGAAAATAGAGTTTAGAAGGATCAGGAAACTCAATCCTAAATATGAAACAAAGGATAAATCTTTATTCTTGTAAAAAAAAAAGTACGGGGAAGAGTGTGAACCGGGCGATAGGCGAACCCATTTACTCCTACAGA